AGTTGCCATTGATAGAAGTCCCTTGGGTGACGCGGCAATAAAGATGCCGACTGCAGAACTCCAGTGGTATCACGGCTTCTGTCAATTAAGATGGGAATTACATCGGACGGGTGGGGAAGAGAGATAGGCGGGAAAGGAAGTAAGAAAGCATTAATGACAGAAAGTTTTCGCTTATCTGTCCTGCTGTATGCAGCGCAAAAGGCCTCCCTTGTACTACTGTGCGACGGCCGGTGCAGGGTGTGGTTGATCACTGAGAAAATAGCTATGTTTGTGCGTGAGTTGAGATACTGCTAGGTCGCCCATACCTACACAGGAAAAGGATTAGGTACCTCACTCAAAGCCGTCGTTTTTAAAACCTGTCCTCATTTTTATTCCCTAACCCCTTGAATTAACAGACGGTGTTGCTGGTATCTAACCATGAACCGCCCTCGTAAGAGTAGATCTCAAGCGGCTCCGGGGTGCCACATTCTATAGCTCAGTGGGTTTAAGAGGCACCTGAACCGTAAAACTGCGCTAACTTTCGTAAAGTAATGCATAGCTGAGACAATTATTTTTGGGGATTTGTTTATTAATTCATCGCTATTCTACTTGATCTTAGTTAATCAAGAAACGTCAAGCTCGATACACCGCTTTTATACGAGGTCCTATGGAGTTGACGGTAAAATGTTGAATTGGAAAGCAGGCTGCTGGTTTGTCCAGCGAAAGCAAACGGAATAGACAGCCTTCCGGTGAAGACCAATTTGAGTACACATTTAGTAGCTAGTAAAAGATGTAGTCAACAGCAGTTCCATGCTCCTCTGCACCCACCGATTATCAATAAGAGGACTAGCCTATGAGCCGTACTGGTTGAGAAATTGCGCTTAGGTCGCATTTACATCAGTAGGACGGAAACGAGACACGTCTGTTAAATTATCAAGACTTGGAGATCTTTCCGCTATGTGTTGAGTTAAGCTAAGCAAAACTAAACTTGGGTACTCAACGACCAGTAAAACAGCAGAGTTTCGTGAATCTTCCTTAATTGACATAAACGCTCACTTAAGTGGGAAACAGCGGTGCATTCTATCCACTTCAGATCCGTGCATAAAGCAAATACTTAGCTTTACTTCACTCAGCTTGATTCTTGCACATCAGAAACTTTCCAGTGATAAGAATCGAGACTTTAATGCAATATGTGGATCGGTGCTGGAACAACTGGTATCAATTGTTCAGGAATAAATATGACCATACGGTATTGCGTTGGGCTTCAATGGTCAACTGTCCGCTGCGTTTTATGAGCCAATGCCTTAGGAGCTTCCTCGTTTAAGGAAGATGAGTGACACGATCTACATTTGCACTAACGGTCTTTTATTATTATAGACTCATTTGTGTATCCCTTGATTTTGAGTTTTCATGTAATTTGGAACATAGAGTTAAACTGCTGGAAAGATGATTACCGAGAAAATTCTGTTGAACCTGTTCAAGTTTGAAACCTAAAGTTCCAAGATGTGAGCTGTGTACTCTGACTGTAACAATCCCCTGTCTAATGATAATTTCAGTTTTTATTGAACCCGATTTAGTATTGTAATCATGTCTCCGTAAATTGCAGACGTCGCAGGCCGCTGTCCTCATCGTGTTCATTGAAATAGCAGCATTGGTGCATAAGTCATGCTACATTCGATTAGTTTATAAGTCATGGCGGTCCGCCTCCATTAAGCATGGTCTAGTGGCTCAAGCCGCTAGTGATGAATGGTAGTGGGTTCTGTACCCGCCTGAAGTTGGAGGACGCGTATCGAATTATCCCGGTGGGACAAAACGGTTGTCCGCTGCTTTTCTGGACACCTGGTTGACCACCTGGTATGAAGGTCAATGCACTTACGACAAAAATCTCTTAGCCACAAGCAAACAAATCACTGTACATTATTTAATTGATTCAAAAGTAACATTCACGTGAAGCATATCAGAGATTCCAAAATGCATACTCCGGAATAAGCGAAGTTGCGAGAAATTCTAGCAGACGAAAACCGATAATTATGGGGAAACAGTATGAAGACATCTGGTATGGTTCAGTTCATCTATTTTCACATGAAAGCATTGGAAACTGAGTGTCAATGAGTAGTTACGTACGTCTTTGTTGAATGGTAAAAGATGGTCTTGGACCGGAGTAGATTCGACCGTTGTCCTCTATCTAGTATCTATCGAGGACTAGCTCGAGGCACGTGATAAGCAAGCACAATTTGAATGCATGTAGTAGCACGTGAAGAAGTATAAAGCATCCAACAGCAACCTCAAGTTTTTCAGTGAAGTTGGGCCACACTGATTAACACTTTGAATAAATCTTCCTAACCTGGATAAAAAGTAATCCTCGTTATCTGATTTGCTCAGTTTCATTGTACTGCTGCATGTTCCTTGTCAATATTTCGCATTTATTTTCCCAAAATTCTATGTTAGTTGTTTGATGTTCCTGGTTTGGCTGCGCTTGATATGAATGTTGACTAGCTGCCTATAAGTCCAACAACCTCCACCTAGATTACTGGTTCCTGGAGAATGTGAGTCGTTTTTGGGGACCTGGGTGCACGGTCCAGGTGGCCTTGCTGGACTCAAAGAGTGGTTCCATCCAGTGTGGAACAGACTACGGCCCAGCCAGCGCCTTGTGTGCGCCTGGTATGCAGGATTTCCTACAGTTAAACAGGAATGTTGCTGCTGTATATGTTGAAGGAGTGTGGGTCGGCTCTGTTGATTAAACTGACTCCCATCCATATGCCTCCAGGTTTTGTTCCTTCGGCTTTACACTAGATATAGCGTGTACGGGGATCTCCTGTTGGAGTGGAACATGAAGCTTAGTGGTTGACAGCTGACACCTTGATCACTGTACCACTAAGATCCGTGCACAACGCTTGACACAGCGGTAAGGAATTCGATGTTGAAATTGGATTGTCGCCTTATCGTTGGATTGCGTCACGCAACCCCTGAATACCTCCGCGGTACTTTTGTTTAACTGCTCTGCTTAACAAATGTAGTGCAGCATTATTGTCGCATGGTCGATCATGATTTCTAAATGAGTAAAAAGCGGACCAAGATGGCCGATGTCATGGATGTACAGCGGAGAGCCAGTAATTTATCTCTTACCAATCTATCGTGAAGTATCCAAGGAAATTGTCCGGAATTCATAGGGTATGTATGTTGAAGTCCTCTAGCAGAAGAACGTGACTGCGAGATCGGGTCAGTTAGTTTGTTATAGCCGAGACAAAAGCATGATGAATTTCTATCGTGCACCAATTCTTAGCACGTTCCTTCACGAACAGAGATCAACTGTGCAAACTACGAGACCTGAAGTGTCATCTGCATCAGAGTCTACTAGTAACGTGAGTTGTTCATCAAATAACTATGTGATGCTAACTCGCTTGCACATGACTATGTCTAAACGCAAGCACCGCAGCTATCATCCGTCGAACGCGACCTTGGGGTGTTTGTTCAAGATAACTTGGGTTGTTCCAAACATTCTACAAAGATATCGATAACTGCTAACAAACGCGCTCGCTTGCCACGAGATGAATTCGAACAAAGAGATGCTTCAATTTTTAGACAGATGCTGAATGCGTATGTTCGCCCCCATGTTGCATACGCAGTCCAGGTATGGCAGCTAGGGCTAAGTAAAATATTACTGCACTGGAGAAACCTCAACTTTGGGCTTCATAATACGTCACTGAAATGCGTCACCTTGCATGCGAGCAGAGGCTGAAAAGTTTGGGAGTAGTCAGCGGGTGGTATTGCCGGCTACGAGGCGAGTTTAGTATGGAGTATTTGATTTTACACAATCCAAATCATGTGCGCCGCTCTGTACTGCAATTCAACCGTAACAGCAAACTTAGAGGCTATTCCTTGAAATTAGTAGAACCGTACAGCCGTCTGGTGCGGCATAGACATTTCTTTCCCATTCGTGTATGTCAAGCATGGAATGCACTATCCGAATCAGTTGTTTCTGCACCCACGCACACCGCCACATATACTTTGTTACTTGACGCTGATCGTTATCTTATTCCCGGGAAATATCATGGATTTATTTTCCTCGCCTATTAAATCTATGGAAACACTTGGAGGGCAGTGCTACTGCATTACGTACGATAAGTCCACACTTTTGGAGTATGACTGTTAACTGTATTTTTTGCATTAACATTTGTTATAACCCACCAGACTATCCAACGGGGCTTGTGTTGTGTCGTCGCTGACGCCTTCACCTCACAACCGCAAGAAGAAGTCCAAAGACGAGCCAGAAGGATATTTGTATACACGAAATCACAGTTGCTTATATAGTTTGAAGGCAAAATGAAGGGAAGCCACTAAAGTACACCTGAGCCAACCAACAGAAAGGAAAACGTCAAATGCATCGGCGAATAAGCAACCGTGTACTCAAGAGCAACTAGCGTATGTCCTTAAAAATAGCATCATTGGACTCCAAGCGTAAAGCGAACGTCCATTTACAGTGACGGGCACTGGCCAATCAGAATGACGAAATGAAACGTTTAAACAAAAGTCACGAAACAAACGCGAATAAGGAATGCAGACCCAAAAGTTGAAAACTAGTACAATAATTGTGTGACAACTAAATATTCCTTTAACATAACTAAGTAGAACAGTGATGAGAAGAAAAAACCAATAGAGTATGTTCTTGCAAATGGCGCTGCTGAGAAGGACATGACGATGAGCGTCCATTAACAATGACGTGGATGTATCAATCGGGCTAACCCAGTAGAGCGTTTAAACAATAGTCAGGAAATAGAAAATAGGAAGAGTAAAGAATAGCTATCAAGCTCGTTCACAATAAATGAATGTCTAATAGCTGTTCTCCTAATAGCTTGTAAAGCGGTACTGCTTAACCAGTAGGAAATCATTGTTCGTTGTTCATTGCACGGACGTACGTACTTGTGCTACGCGCAATTCTAGACGCCCTGTAGTTTGTGTATTTGCGTCTCTGTCACCTGAACTGTGCCGGAATTGAGTGATATGATGTTTGTCTCTCCTAGGTAACAGACTGGTGGTTGGATGATATGTACCTGTGCAACCCATTACCTTTACCTGTCAACTCGAATCCCGGCATGGTATTCCCAAGACATACGTTTATCAGTGCAAGGCAACAGCTGAGGTGAGTAGCGTGTGCTGAATTGTTGTCACTGTTGTTGTCCCGTTCTAATAGTCTGTTTACTAGAGAAAACGGAGAAGGCTGAATATTCTGAGAGGACAACTACTTTCATTATTATTCTAAATGTTAATATCTGAACACATTGGATGTAAGGGAATGCATACACTTGGTGCATTCTCCTCAATCGCATATAAGCAGTAAATAACCGTTGCAGCCAAAATGTCTTGTCAGTTCGATTGGTTACTGATTGGTGACCAGTTAGTGTGCTGCGCTCTATCTTTGCACGTTTGGACGGTCAAACTAATGATTCTACCGGAACTGAGATGGCCACTCAACGTGGTCCTCAGTGACCTCAAGTGGTATGGGAAATTTTGAGGCAAAAAGCGCATAGCAATGGGGACTAGCCAATGCAAGCCGCGGGCTTCACATTCTATACTGAAGGTATAGAGCTTTTATCCCACTAACTCATTTTGGTGTGTTGCTACATGGATAGACTACAACAAATCGCCACAACCCAGCATAATATTATGCTGTGGAACCACTGTCGCAAGTCTATCCATATCCTTCAAAACCGCTAATTTTCTACAGCAGTCTGTAATAATTAGGTAATTGTTGAGTAATTTCTTTGTCTCAGTAGGTTGCCTAATATCGGGCGCCATCTCACCTTCCTGCTTGCGAGGGGACCACAAAGGCCTTCGGGATTCTTAACTTGCGAATATTCTGATGTTCAGAAATTCGGTCATGTGAAGCTTTTTGCACAATCAGGATGCATCGCACACCCTAAAGAAGCCGAATGGGTCAAACGCTAATGACCGTTTGTTCTGCGTTGTTTCCTAGGTTTGAATACACGGCTAGACTGCTTACTTATTCGATATTGAACAGGCCTCGTTAAGCATTGTTCAGGGAGCAAATCAGTTCGTTTAAAAATGCTTTGACTTAAGCGATGCAATTATTGGTGAAGTTGCCTAAGCACTACTCGTTGACATCGGGACTACGAGTGGCGTGCCGGCCACGGGAGCGCAAAGGCAGGCCAAAGAACTTGGTTCTGAATCTACGGAATTACGCAGTCAGAGGCAACATAGTTGTCTACTGTTCCTCCAGGATCTGCGTGGCGGGGCGCTAATGATTACCCATAGGAATTATTGAGCCCAAGCGGGCTTCACGCACTCATTTGAAAGCTGGCCAGCTAGAACGCGAGACCTGCTAGCATTTGGGCACTGAACTTCAGCACAGCTAGTGCTGATATTCAGAGCATATACCATTCCCAGACATGGCCACGACTAGACTCTGAAGCGCCGATAGAAGCCATTTTATCAAAGCACATTTGTCTGAACGCTTCGAATGCATGTAGCAACTTCAATTGTTCTCAAGCCACGGGCTGGCACTAGCTATACGTTTTAAGGGTTACAAGATTCATAAGTTTATAAATTATCATTTAACGATGACAGCTCCTCTAACACAGCGCAGTACACCGAAGCGGAATCACGCTAAAGCAACAGTTTCATCCACCATGAATACTTTTGCAAGACCAAAAGCTCGGACTTTTAAAGCAAAAGACTTTATCCTCTGCGCTTGGCTTGCTTGCTTTCCGAGTAAGGATGTTTGGCTCATGCGATATTGGTTAGTCATTGTTTGGGAACAGCAATGAGATGAACAACTACGGGCGAAACACCACGCGTAGTAGGATGCTTGAATTGAGACATGTCATACAGTGTTATAAATACGCAAACGTATATGACTTCAAGGTAGTTGATTGCACCTCTTCGCTTTATTTCTCACAAGCACCGTCACCATTTGTGGGATTCGGTAGAAACTCAACGAGAATCGGTGTGAAGGGTATATTGGAAACGTTCTTGCTTGGCCACAAATACGGGTCATTGCGTACAGACGGTCTGCCATTTCGCTAGTAATCCATGTAGGCACAACTGAATGAAATTTATCACTACGGGTTCACCTTTTCGAAATATTAATTGGTGCCAAAATGGATTGTCAAACGGGCCCAAATGATCTGGTGCGTAACTGAAATACGAAGGTTTGTAGTCACCAATGAATTTTCTACGGAATTCACAACATTATCAATAGCACAGGTGCGATCGAACCAGTCTGTTTTGCAGCAAAAATTCTTAGTGAAACCTAATGGATAGAATCTTAACACATACATCGAAAACAAGCGAATCATTTCAGAAATGCGTACATAACTGTTGCACACTTGCTGCATGCGCGGTAAGCAACGATACGTTGTTGGACAAAATTCACAACTCCGCTTCAGCCCCAGATCTCCCACATTTGCAGAAGCAAACTCCTACGCTGTCCTAGCCAGTGTTCACTGCTTAGATTGACCAAAGAATATTCAGGACAGATTATCAACAGTAATTTGTTTCTTGATATGCTGAAGTACTATTTACACAGTAGCTAAGTTGGAACGAATTTGTTAACTAATGAAATAAATTGGACGGGAGATTTAACTGGTAGTATTCTACATCTGCAATGTTCAATGTTTAGCGAATAGTTTCTTCTGACCTGATATTCTCTCGCACAGAAGTGTTTGATTTTCCATTCGGAGTAAAGCATCACCTCGGGCGATGCAACTCGTAACTCAATTGACCGTTTCAAAAGCGTAGACGTTTAGCCAATTTCCTTTTCATCGGCCTTGTAGGCAAAGCACGGTAATTCGATTGTCCATCGCTTCGATTAGCTCGACGGTCGGCATGCTTATGCAATATCGGTGTGGACGCAGTGACAGCATCTCGGATAGCAGTGATGGCTCAAGATGAGAAAACGCATCGGAAAGCGAACAATCGATGAAAGGCCTCAAAATAACATCACAATAACAGTGAAAATAACACAGTGATCCCAAATGACTGTAGAAGGCAAACGCACATTGCGTTAAGGAAAGGGGTAACAACCGCTTGGTGTAGTTTTTGATTGTCTATCCTCAAGACTAAAAATGAGATCAGATTATTCTCGAGTTTCACAATATACACCCTTTAAGGCATGCTCAAGTAGTTACAAGCATCTTCAGGCAGCCCGATCACAATTAGATAGAAACTTGTATTGCGAAAACCACGCTGATATAGAGAGTAAGCAGGAAAAGAATTTTCCACTCGGACTGAGATTGTATAAAACTACAAGGTGCAGCTAACATAATGTGAATACCGGTTATGACATCACCGTTGTTATAGCTGTTTTTCACCAACTCAAAACCAACTTATGCTTTCAGGATGTGCTGAGGATCAATTCCTTAGGTAACGATAATCGACTACGAAAGAAAGATCCATCATGGTTTGCTCACCTGAGAAGCAGCGTTTTAATGGCGTTGTCCCACAGTAGAGGCATTAAGAAGAAATAATATGTTAGTAGATAAGGACAATATGTTAATGGAATACAGGTTCTGGTTAATAATGCTACAAAAACCCAGAAGTGAATCACGCGATGGACCGAGAGCGTCAGAAAATTACAGCCGAGCGCAAAGATGCATAAATATTGGTAAAATGGGTAAAAATAGAACTTATTACTTACGAAATTATGGTAGGTTTAATGGATTTCAAAGGATGAGACAAGAAAAATTTCCATGCAGCAGAAAAATACTAGTTTCCAGTAACTAAGAAAAGACAACTCAGGCCAACTAGTTTTGGTTACCAGACATATTTCGGCTGCGAAACACAAGATGTGGTTGGCCCATTACCATTTAGGATAACATGAAATTTACTACACCCGATCATACACTAGGTTAAGGTGTACGATTTGTGTAAACTACCTTTTGCATCGATGTATTGGCATGATTTACCCGTTAGGTGGTAGTAAAGTCAATGGCTGTCTAAAAGCTGTATCTGATTTCTTGCTGGAAATGCGATGGCCGATGTTGAAACATTCGTCAACGCGTAGTGCACGTTGATCCTCCACCTCTGTTGACAAAATGCAGTCGCATGTACTTTCTCGATGAGTTTACGAGATGTTTGAAGGCAATGATATGCTACTATTTGGTTACTGAAGCCCTGGATGTTTTCCAGCCATGCAATGAAAATTAGGCATGAGAATTTAGCTTAAATCAATTATTTACCATTGACTATTGTCTCACAATCAAGTTTCCAAAGTTTTAAACCGCGCAACTCCGAGTACCCGTAACTTCTTGGTAGGAACGAAAAGATTCATACGCTACAGTGTATCACTCATACTCAATTCAAAATATTAATTTTGAGTTATACTTCATTTAACGGTCATGATATCTACACTTACGATGCTACATCGTCTTCAGATTCGCTGCTCAGCTTATTTCTGGCATCCTGGACTACAAGACCATCTTGGACACGTAAGTAACAATTCAGAACTATCGCTAAGATTTTGAAATATCCTTCTGGTCCACCTAGCTGACCACAACTGTGCGGTTTCGTGACGTTAGCCGATGGCTACTTACCTGGTGAAAAATTTTCCTAGGCTGTCAGTAATCTCAGTAGGTTTATATTTATCTGGACAACTTTGTAAGGTGTTGGCAGGGAGGCACCATCTTATCACACAGACAATTTGTAGAGTGGGTAACATGTGACCAAAATAGTCTAGATTACATCCAACCAACAAGGCAAATATCACATGTCCCTCTTATCTTCCCTAGCCAATACGGTTAGTTAGGTTTTGAACCAAGTCACACGTCTACTCTATGCATGAAAGCCAGTTAAATGAACCGATGTTCGAACGTGTTCGCTAGTGTCTACTTGGTAAACAAGTGCAAAGGCAACTTGGTCATCGACAACGGTGGCTAATCCACAGGCTCGGATGTATGTGACTCGGCACACGAACACTCGACGGAGTCGGTTCGTCATGCACCGGTGCGTGCGCCCGTCTGCTTCGCCTATGTGGTGGCACGGTCAACAACGCCGGATGAGCTCCAGATGCATTGCGGGTGAACTGGGTTCAGGTTACCTAGACGTAGGGTAGCGTTGACTCCTGACTCCCCAGTAGTGTTGACACGTAACGCAACTTGGAAATTTGAGTCCAGAACACTGAGTAGCGGCTTTTTCAACTCAAGGCTACTGCTTTTTATAGCTGACAGTTGTTTCAAAAATTAGGGGAGCGAAAGTTTAATATGGGCCAAAAATTAATTGCCCCACAACTGCGTGGTAAAGTATATAGCATGAGGGGAAGCCAGAAAGAAGACTACCCAGTTTCTACACAGAAACTGGATTAACATATTAATTGGTTGGGTGTTTACCAGGGCATACGTGTTCAACTAACAAGGTGAGTTGAAAGGTGATGCAAAATATAGAGCTGGCACCAACTGTATCTCTCAGCCGTACCTACATGTAAATACACCGGCGAAATAAGCGTGGAATATTTGGATGTGAGATGTCCGAAACAAAATACTAATCATAAATGCCCCCACTGCCGTCAAGTGCCAAATGATAGAAAATTTCGAAACCAGAATTCGGGTGAAAACTTTGGCGGAACCAGAGCAAACAAGGTTTGGGGAAACGCATACGAACACAAATTGGATAATTGCTTTAAACAATTGGGCTCAGGGATAAGTGTGAGTACGGGTAGCGTGCGTACGTCCTCATAGCATAGATAAATAAACACATGAAGTTTTTCTCAACAACGCGAAACACGCTTATACAGGCATGACAAAAGTGATAGATATGTACAAAAATTCATGTTAGCCATAGAATTTAATGCATATTTGTAAGTGTATATATATATACATAGGTGTGAAGGTGTGTAGCGGTGTTGCATTCATGACGCTTCTTCACTGCGGTTGGGCTTAACCGACTTACAATTAAACCACATCTTTTTAATCGGGAGGAAAGTTATTCCACTTTCTTTGAGTAGTTCAGTTCTGTACTTTTTCCGCAAATTCTGTGTCAATTTTGCGTATTTTGCATTCCCTTAATTCTAAATTGGTTGTTTAATATCCCCGGTGTGGCATAGTTTGATGTAAATGTTGACCAGCTGACTACCTGTTTAACACCCTCTATCTCACTTACTGGTTCCAGGAGACTGTGAATCGTTGTTGGGTGTACTGGGTGCACGGTCCACTTGGCCCTGCTGGACTAAAAAAGTGATTCCATCCAGTGTGGAACAGACTACGGCCCAGCCAGCGCCCTGTGTACGTCTGGTGCGCATGATTCCCTACAGAGATAGGCCGGAATGCTTCCATTTTGTTTGTTGAAGGAGTGTGGGCAGGCTCTGTTGATGAAGCGTGGTCCCCAATCACATACTCCCCGGTCTTATTCCTTCGGGTTTACACTGGATATGGCTGTGTGGATGGAGCTGTGGGTGGTGCATCGCAAGCCACCCATGGTCCCTGTGTAGGCGCAGGCTTCCTGTTGCTGCTCTGAGGAGGCCGCGGTTACAGACAGATCCGGAACCGGATGCCGCCAAACATGTGTACAGCTGTGTTGCTTGGGTTTGTTTATGTGCCGCTGCATTGTGAACTTTTGGTTGCATCGCTAATGTGTGAAGACACTGTTGACATTCATGGATTGCATGTGCTTATCCGGATAAGCAAGGCGCAGTGACTTGAGTTTGTGACGAATTAAATCCGCCATGTTGCATGGTTGTTAAACAGACTTTTGTGGCTTTTGATAGGGAGAACGCTTGAAACACTGCTGACGAACTATTTGCTGCAATGGGATAAACCCGAACTAAAGGGGAGGTTGTTTGGCTATCCAGCCATGAACATAAGGCACTTTTGTGCACTTGCAGAACCCAAGGTCCGCAAAAGAGCCACCTCAGAATGGGACCTAATGACCCTAGCTACTAGAAACTGAGTTCAAACATGCTAGAAAAATGGTGGGTGCGGATCATCCATAATCGACTAACGCATAAATTGTGATGGCTTGGAAGCATCTTTTGGCTAGGATTGTGGTGGGGAACACAACAATGTGAGCTGTAGACTGATCGAAAATCGTTTTTCTACCCTGCTTACGCTTGTATTTAAGAACGCTATCAGATAACTTGGTCTAAGCCTACACGCTTTCCAAATAAGATTACTTGGACTGACAAAGTGTTATGTAGTGTGCGAAACTCCACTTGTCCGCAGCCCAATGTCGGCGTTGGAGGACTCACGGTAAGCACATGATGGTTGGCTTCTGTCAGATGATCACTGGGTAATGATTTGTAAAAGCTAGCGGCACGAGAAATTACAGGGATTACAAGGCACATTCTTAGAATTCTGACACATAAGACGCTAGGGAATTTTGCAGTAATTTCGCAAAATCCGTCTTATTAGCTACATCTTATTCCCATGAACACAAGCTCGGTTAGGTAGTAGGATAGTCCATGGGCAAGTTGCTCGCCAGGTCACTGGTGCTGAGGGCAGATATCCTTGAAATGAGAAGTTGAGTTGCGCTATTAGTACAGATCAACCAAAAGGTACTTTGCATCTAACTGGCGTTGTGATGGAGTTGCAGAGATTGCAAGTAGGTACCTGAAGTCACCGGTGATGTTACCCTTTTATAAGGCTAAACTTTAAGTACAGATAAGGTCCATAGTAATATTCCTTCTTCTTTCTATCCATTTGCTTTGAGAAATGGAAACATCCTTTCGTAACTTTAGTAATCCATTGTTGCAAAGTCTCGAACAAAGCGTAGTCATCGACCTCACTGGGCTGTAGTCCCTGAATCTCATATTTCTCTTAAAGATGAACGCCTGTTACATCTACGAGGAGTCTTGACAGGATCATGCTAAGCGGAGGCAAAATCACGTTATCAACATACTGGTTAACACTTGCTGGAATATTTATAGATAACTAAATACATAACTAATATTTTATTCTCGACAATGCGAGGCAAGGCTGGATAGGATTACTCACGATGGTTTAGTCATGTGTATGATCGAAAAGATCTGAAGCTGTTCAAATATCGTCAGCTGGGAGGACATGTATAACACAAGGAATTATCCTGATGTAAAAGGACACACGTCAGGGTTGGATGATCAACTGTTTTGAATGCGGATCAACGTTTCATCCTTTACAAGCCGAAAGAAAAGAAACACTTAGACTTTTGGAAATCAGTTATGGAAAGGAGCTACCAGTTTCTTAATGATTGTACTGACATAGGTCAAAATTATTTACGGACTAGAAGTTTTTGTTGGTTACGGGAAGTGGAAACCATTTGGAACTGATACCCAAAGTTTATGCTATGTGGGCCAAGCCGTGTTTGGATATATATGTAGAGGTGCTTTGCCAAACAGAATGAGTATATACAAGGTGAACTTTAGAAAAAATTTCTCAAGCCAGCCACATAGCTGGCTAAATCATTTGACCAAGCTTGTCATGATATGTTCAGTAAATGCGAATATCGATACTCTGTTAAGCAAAGCTTAATCTGTCATAGTTTAGTGGGATAAGCTGCTAGTGGCTATGGGTTCAGTTCTCAATGAGTCTGAAGGACTTGAGCTACCGACGAGTCCCTAGGGGACCAGCCCGCCGTCTACGGATTTTTCTTGTTTGTAGAGTACGGTCTCATCCCAAAGGATGAATTAACTAGAGCCCAGACATCTGCATACTCTGTGTCTGGTTAGTTGGTCGAGTCGAGGTAGCGCCGGAATGCGTCCATGGGTTATTATGCTGCCTCAACTAATGTTGAGACCTTCGTGAAGACAGGTACTGCTGTACTATCAAACAGAGGGGAATACTCTTAGTTACTCAGTATAATATTGGCGATAGTAGTAACATCTCTCCATAAGACGAGTTGCAAATGTTTCTAGGTGGCTTTCTTAATTTTGAGATCTGGGTAAGTGTCCTTGTTGGTTTAGAAGGAATACACCGTAGGAAAAAGCTCTTCGATGCTTACTGCATTGCGTCGTTTGCTTCGATGATGCCAGTCTTGGGGAAGGTGTAGAACTTCGAACGGAAAGTTTTGTATATGACAGATGTCTAAATAAATGAGAAATGGCGCCCTTAAAATAGTGAAAATTCCGGAAAGATGCTGCATACCCTGGTACTATGCCAATGAGGAATTTAGCAATCGCATAGCGAGAAGTATACACACGTATTCGCAATTGGATTACTTGTGGTCTCCGTTTCGTTAGTGGATGACGACATGTAAGCTCAGTATCTGAACCATGAATTACTCGAAGGTGAATCCCCGCCTTTCGGGTCACTGGGATGTTATCGGAAATCGAGGAAACATACACTATACACTGCGAATAATCTATACTTCCAGCGGCCACAAGTCTGTATTCCATTTAAGAACCTGAAATTAGAATATTTTTGCTCACCGCCTTCGTAGTTGCACTAAGGAGTTCCAAAAGTAAGGTCTCCGTTCTATCACAAAATCGGCTAAGAGCTTAAATGTGTGATATAGCGCCACTCACCCTCCTCTAACTTGCAAGTTGCTGCCTTGCAGAAGGCAGAGTAGTCCCTCAATAAACGACGAAGTTACCATAGTGCATGCCGCTATATCACATTTTTTAACTAAGTCGCACCGATACCGTCCCCTGTAGTTTGGTGGTCTTAACCAAAGACCGGTAAACATCGGATTGCGGTTTCGAAGCCAACTGGGGTCAAATAAACTACGTACTGCTGATGATTCCCAAAAGGATGAAATGGCTGAATAGTGCAATTTCGGGCGTGTGATAGTTGTCTGACTGAGTCTGGATGTGATGAATTTCTGCCTATAACATTCAACTCCTCTTACTACTCCCCAGTAAGTAGAAGGCAAGCCAAACGGCTTCTACTGCCATAGGTTTTCTGGTAACTTAAGTTTCGCCAGTTCTTCGCTTGGTCAAGAAATTAATCTCTCCTCTGCAAGGTAGTAACGTGCAAGCCAGTGAATAGCGATCCGCACGACAACACATTTAGTAACTTATTCAAGACGGTCGTCGCCCTCCCCCGTGGCTTAATGGTCCTCCCCCCGGGCTGCTAACATTGGAGTCGCGGTTTCGTGCCCTAAAAGCATCAGATAGAATGGAGGCCGCGAACGATTTTCTAAAGTATGAAATGATTATACAAGGCTGTTCCGGGTGTGATCGCTGTCTAAGTGAGTCTAGATGTGACGAATTGCTAATTATACTTTTCAAAGTCCCGTCCTACCCACTTGTAACTCGCTTAACTAATCCACGTAAAGGTGGACTCGTAATAACTCATAGTGATAGATATGCAGAGCGCCCAATGTAGTCAAAAATTTTGTAATTTTTGGATGCCAACTTGAATAGACGCATAGACCAACGTCCTCTTCCTCCCCTACTCGACAGGCGCTCTCTTCCCATCGATCGAGCCAGACATAGTCGCAAGGGCCAGCCCATGTGTATGGATCAGTATTATCGGCTGTTCACTTCGTATCGATATCCGGGGAAAACCAAGGACGCGTTAGTAACAGTTTCAGAAAGAGATCCATTCGATTCGGAGTACATTTGTGTAGTCTGTTTGGATCAGGTGAGCCAATTTGCATTTGAGTATTTGATAACTTAATATCAGTCAGTGATTTTTTAGATTGAGACACTATTATTTTTAACGTGCGTCAGCGGTTTTGGTGCTTCTGGCTGCTCAGTAGCCAGCGGTACAATCATCAACTGTCCGGTGGGAGGCGGCACCAACGACGTTACAAACATCTTTAGCGGAAATCAACCCAAAAATTCGCCAGCTTCCGTCCCTAGTGGTCTTCCTGAATGTTCCTCATGTTTCAAGTTCGAGAATCTGAGCGCCAGGACTGTTGCCGCTGCCACTTACACAGCGTTTGGATTAAATCCAAGCCACTTCCAAGGCATTAGCAATCTCAGGTTAACCAAAAGTGAATGAATTGCATTGCATCATCTGCAACCCTCATGTCGTATTGTATTTGATGCCGTGTCAAGCCGCAGCTACGGTTCATGCCTCATACACACTGGCTACTACTATGGCACCTGTTTTCGCCATATCGATCCTATTTAGCTCCACTTGGAATCAATGTTTGCGTTCGACGCTATCTTTCCTTCTATTATCCAACTTTATTGCTTTGGTATTCATCCATCCGACGGCCATCCCCCCACTTTCGTATTGAAGATTGGATTACCGGAGAAGCGGTTGGTCGTTCCGATGCGTTTTGTCCATACCTAATCTTGGGTGATTTGTACCTAATCTCTTTTACGCCATCTGCTCTATATACGCAAAGACCGTTGCAAAAACCGCAAGGCGACACAAGAGCGCTGCATGTAGAAATGGCTTAACTGTAGTCAATTCGAAGCAAGAGGTTGGAAATACCAGGTGCGAAAGCTATCAATCGACGGACACAGGTAGGTCGTACAATCAGATATCTCAGAGTATGCCTACTCTAGGCTATCTAAAGTTCATTCTTGGTACCTTCCTGTGCACACCATAAGAAAACAGGAGAATTGCTCGAACATCGGTAATGGACATGTTTTTTGTTCCTAAGTATCTAAAGCTGTTTGTAACATGCCGATTGCAGATGATGTCATGTTCGCATTTGCGCCATACTAGGGAGTAAAGTTCGGACTGTAATGATCCACTACACATTGCTACTCGGAAGAGATTCGTAGGGCATCTAACATGGAGAAACTAAACTTGGTTGTCCTGAGGCACCAGATGCTTTGATAGACACTGGTGCATTTAGTGGTCCTTTCCTATATATAGAATGGGCAGCAACTCCACGGAATTAAGCACAATTAGTTAGCCCAATTGCATATACACCAAGCAGACAGTTATCTGCGTACTAGTTGTACGGAACATAAAGGACAGATGATGTAGTTGCGCAACTTCTAGTCTGAAGACGTCCATGACCTGGATTCGATACATGGACTCGACTTGGAAAAGTCCAGAGCATGAGAAGGAAGTTGCTGCAATTATGCTGCTGAAATAGTAGAAACCAACATAGCCAATATTTGTGGGCCTGCCTAACACCAACGAATACAACGGCTCTCGGTGGGCAGATCAAAAATAACTCTCGAACCTATAAAATAAGTACTATGACTGTGACATTGAAGGCCCTGTAACGGACACATCTTAAGATCGCTACGTACTGACTGTGTCTCTTGCGACGACACTAACGATGATTTATTTATGGATACTATCTCTGTCATACCAAGTACTGTCTCAAATAACGATAAGGTACACAGAAATCACATACTAGCACCTTCCGATTGCTGAGGCAAGTAGCTACGTAAATCGCTTATTTTCGAAACTTCCGTCGTTAATGGAGGATATCTAACTTCTTAGAAAGACGAGCGTTTGTTAACTATGTGCGAGTGCTATATTCTTTTGTAGATGTCGTCTAAAGATAATACCCGAATAAGATGTAAGTAAACTTTTCATAGTGACAACGAAACTGAAACGAAAGTTTTGAGTCACAGAAACGGCCAACCTATCCATAAAACTAGTCCGAACTTTAAAACGTTGACAACGGATCTTAGTGTTATAGTGATCAAGGTGTCAGCCGCTAATCACTAGACCCCTAGTTCCACCCTAGCTCAGGCTCTCTCCATCTGACATGACCAAACAAGGACGAAACCGGCCATGGGATGTCAGTGATAAGAGCAGCAACACCGAAAAATCTTCTGCTGGAATATTCCTTACTTCGTGAAGTTGGAGATACCAAGTACCCCTGTATGAAGGCAGTACTTGTGGTGGAGAGTTTAGGTGTTGATCTTTACCAACCTTGCACTCCGCAACGCGTTTTGTCCTTGTATGGACTCATTAGATGGCGATAGCCTAAACTGGCAGTAGAACTAGGCAGATAGTGACTGGCAGATATCGCAGTTATCACTGGGCCATTGAGCTCCGCGAGCAGTGCCTAACATAGCGGTTAGAAGGTGATTGTCACGTTTTGGAGCACCCGGCATGTATGTCGGATTGCGACGTCCCGAAATCCGATAGGCGACACATGGGGATTGTAACACATCAAAACGCACCAGTAGGAGTCAGAAGAGAGAATGTGTAGATAGTAATCATGGCTGTCTTGATTCTTGTTCAAGCTCTAGCCACAAAGTGACAGATCGTCGGCTACTAGACCAAGTAGTGGTTGACATAGATCCTGACAAATCAATGCAGATGTGTGAATGGCTGGATAGGGTTAACTGCGTTTCAACTGAAGGTGTTGGAATGCGCGCCATTGTGTATACCAGTACGGGTTCCACTGCAAGGCCACTTACATAGACACAGTAGAGCACCAGTTGCGCTTGAGAATCGTGGAATATAACCCAGCGCAGGACATGAACCATGTTTCGAACCTACCCTGACCACTAGCCCAGGTGCGCAACCAAGGGACGCAAGTGATCAGTCGCACAAGACAGTTGCAACATCAATCGCCGCCATCTGCTGATAGACAAACAGTGGGTTGACGCCACGAGCATGTTAAGTGTGATCTGGTTGGCGACATCCGGTGTCGGATTTGCCTGTCACTGTGGCCGGCCACATGACGCCTGCGCCTACACAGGGACCATGGGTGGCTTGCGCTGCACCACTCACAGCACCAACCACACACCCCATATCCAGTGTAAACCGAAGGAATAAGACCGAGAGCATGTGGATGGGAGCCACGTTTCATCAACGGAGTCGGCCCACATGCCTTCACAGGAAAACACAAGCACGCTGTAGTTGGCGAGTCCAGCGCACACAAGGGGTGGCTGGATCGTAGTCCGCTTAAATACTGAGTGCATGGAACCACTCTTTGGTCCTAACTAGGCCACAAGGACCGTGCACCCTGTCCCCTCCAACAACGACCAGCTGTCTCGTAGAGCCAGTATCGACGGTGTAGTGGGTAATACACAGGTAGGCACCTTGTCAACATGCACACCAAGCGCAGCCACACCGGGAATATCAAGCAACAGCCAATCATTTGAAAAGACGATATCAAATAAAATAAATCAACTAATGCATATAGGTACGATGACCTAACTCTTCAGTAAATGAACAAATGAAGTAAGTTGGTTAGCAATGAATCCGCGATAAGTATAAAATGTTCACAAGTTACTTAAAAATGCTACAAACGTGATAAAGTTAACAAAGTTAACCAAACTTAGCGTAAGCAATGTGTGCAAGATAATAGATTATTCAGGTAGGCGGCACAAACCAAATAAAGTGAAATGAAATTTACCCAGTTTAAAAAGGGTTACTTTAAGTGTAAGTTGATTTAGCCCAACTGTGGTGAACAAGCATCATGAATTCAACATCAGCCTCATCATCAAATAACACTCATGGGCTGTGATAGGCTGAGGCGGTCTTCACGAAACAGTTTGACCCTACTTTGTGCATGCGGACGGACTCGTTCGTCAATCTGGCTCCACCCTGGTAGTAAGCCAGTAGTCAGGTGATGAGCTGACAAGAAGGTGTGTACGTATGTTGGTGAATATGCTAGCTCAACTGTAGTAATTCTTTATGATGCTATAAATTAGCATGTGCTCTGTAGTACGCACTTGACAATTTGCAGCGAAATTTATGCGGAACCAAATCCGTTGATGCTTTGAGTTTCACTTGTTGACGGAAGATTACATCGGAAAATGGTTGCTACAAACACATTACTGAGTCCAAGGAACGATAGAAGATGCATTAATAGAATTGCTATCGTTCATTTCACGTCTGAAGGAGTTCCAAAACGGCAAATAGAAATCCCAGAAGTGGTACGGAGTAGAAATATTGGCAACTGGCTTGAATGAGGCGCGATTAAACGGAGCTGGAACGAGTACGTAGATCGGCTTAGGATCTGTGCCACCTGCCATCTAGTGTACCAGAGTAGGACTATTGGCCGGTAATAGTACTCTTTAAAGCCCACTGATGATGTCACTTTGATTGGTGACAAAACCCCGGAATGCTATCACTTGATTTGACGAGTAGCTTGATACACAATTCATAACCTAACAGTTTCACAAAATGTAACTATTGGACTATAAGTTGCCCACAGGTCGCCGCGTTGAGTGTTCATAGTTAGTCTTATAAACTGCGATTTATCTGTGTTCTCCGTGTTATGTTACACTAACTGATCCCATCTCTCTCTTACTCAATTTTCGATGAATAGCTTTTCATCATGGAAGTGGTCACAAATGGGACAAGGTTATCCGAAGAAGACATATATAATCAGCTACGTCGTATTGTGCAATTCGCCGAAGAAGTTGTCAGCGGGGAGAATGATGCATTTGCTCAACCGAGAGTTGGCGCACTCACAGCAATGCGAAGAAATGAATGGGCCGATGTCAGGGAACGCATGTCCAAGGGTAATTTTTCTATCACATCGATCCGTAATGTTGCTGTACACTAATCGCAATTTGGGAAAACTTGGCGAATTGTCGGATGATACCAAATACCTATTTTGTATGTATGAAAAGCTCTCTGAATCTGGCCATTGATTTAGTTTTTAGTTACGCTCGAACATTACGATTAGCCCTGAGGCACACGATACATGATGGACCCAGATTAAAATTTTCGCTTAGTTTATGTCAGGTTTATCTGCTTTATTTTCAGCGAATAAAATGACGAACACCTGATGCAAAACCATGATAAAAACGCAGGTCATTAGTATTCATTGAGGAAAGAACAACTTCATTTCGTTGAGATACAGCCGTGTTTCAAGGCGCTTAGATCAAGTCACGTATTGTTATACTCAATCTGGCAGAGAAGCCTGGAGAAAATGATGGACCACCATGGGACGGTTTGTCACATAAAACTGTTAAAACGAAATAAGCCTTGTTGGAGGATGTGTTTAAGTTTGCTTTAGCCGTTTAAACTCGATTTAAAATGCATATACTTGTGATGATGCCACCGCATGGTGAACCTTGTAAAACGCGCGTTATTTTATCGGCGCGATATTTTCATTTTGTGACCCCTACCGTGGGCATTCGCATTCCACTAGCTATAAACAATTGCGCAATTGCTCAAAGTAAGCCAAACAATTACACTTATCCCAGAGCAAACCCAAAATGAACAATGAACAACGCACAATGAATTTAGATGGGTTAAAAGGCGATTTGGAATACTGGTAGCTCGGGGGGCTTGCTCAGTTGTTGTGGAGTTCTCCAAGCCGGGCAACTTGGTTGCAAACGTTTCGCCACCATTCGAGGTGGCATCTTCAGTGGGGGATTGAGAGTAGTTAAGTAGCAGTAGCTGGTGGAAAGCAAACCCAATACTGGATACTGACAGCAACCACTCCGTTCCTTATATAGGCCTACGGGGCTATTAATTTTGCCTCGTTCTCATTGGTGAATCCTTGTGTTCGGCGGTTGTGCTCGAGTCATTGTCATTGGCTGCGGAAAGGTTGTTGCGACGTGGTTGGGATTATCCCACTCGGATTGGTGCACCGGGTGTGGGTGAGTAGCAGACTACTCACACAAGACTACTACACAAATATTCACCAATGAGAACGAGGCAACATTAACAGCCCTGTATGCCTATTTAAGGAACGGAGTGGTTATTGGCTGTATCCATTATTGGGTTTGCTTTCTACCAGCTACTGCTACTTAACTGCTGTCAAGCCCGCCCTGAAGATGCCACCTCGAATGGTGGCGAAACGTTTACGACCAAGTTGCCCAGCTCGGAGAACTCCACAACAACTGGGTTAAGAAGCGTTGCTTTACAAGTCCCGTTGGATAGTTGGCAGGAATATCAAAATAAGAATAATAATAAAACGATCAGTATTTTAAATATGAAATAAGGATTTATCTTTTGCTCCAACACAGTCCTGCAATCCGCCCAGATTCACAACACCCACAGTTAACATAAATAAATCCATGGTAAAGTCCAGATGTAGGATAGAGACGTAGCTCTAAGTGACCTAATGTAAGTGGATGAGTGTGTCATCCAACCGTCTTTTAAATACTGTTAGTGTGGGTTCAGAGACGCCCTATTCTGGGAGAGCATTCCACGGGTGACAGACACGAATGAAGAAGAATTTTATGCGGCACTCCAAACGGCTATACCGTTCTTCGAGTTTTAATAAGTGGTCCCACAGGGTTGTATTTGTGTTGAGTCGCAGTAAAGGGCGGCACACATGATGCGGGTCTCGTAGAGTCAAGTATGCTATAAGCAGGTCGCCACGCAGTCTGCGATTACGTCCGCAGACTACCCTTAATCGTTGCAGCCTATCCTCGTATGAAAGATTGCGCATTACGATTACTTTCTTAGAGGCTCGACGGTTTGGCTGCTCCAGTGCAACAAAGTCGTGTTTCAGCCATGGATGCCATGCTTGAATTGCGTATTCGACACTGGAGCGAACCTATGCACTGTGCAAGTGCCGAAAAATGAAGCCGTTTATTTGTCCAAATGCCCGTCGCAACAGCCCGAGGTGTGCGTTTCCAGATTTCGGGGCCTTTACGGAGTGTCTGGAGCAACCCAAGTCATCTTGAACAAGGACACCCAAGTCACGTTCGAGAGTTGACTTTTGCAGTACATTCGTTCCCAGCCGGTATGAGTAGCTGCTCTGATGTCGGATGGAATGTACCTTGCATTTACACACCTTGAAATGCAGTAATTGTTTTGTTAATCATTGATATGCAGTATCTATATCTCACTGAAGAAGATGCTGGTTGGACATCCGCTGGATCTTGCGTCAAATCTTGATATCGTCGTCAAACATCAAGAAGTTTGAAGCGATTCGCTGTGCAAGGTCATTAATAAAAAAACAAACGTGAACCTAGTACTGAGCCTTGCGGCACACCACGCTCGGCTTGTATGGGGTCCGATAAAGAGCTCCGAACTCTGACAACTAAGTGCCGTTGAAGTAGAAGTTGGCACTCCGGCTTAAAAGAGGGTCGCCGTTCCCGTAATGCTGCAGCTTGGATAGTAGTATCCGATGGTCTGGACGATCGAAAGCCTTGGAAATATCCAGGTAGATCACATCAACGCCCACTCCAGCGTCAACTGACTCGGCCCAACTACTGCGTGCAATTAGTAAATTAGTTGTACATGACCGCTGTCGATGTAAGCCGTGCTGCTCAGACGCGATGATGTTAGTGCTTCCCAGATAGCGCACCAGTGCATCGGCAACTATGGATTCCATGACCTTGGAGAGTATAGGAAGAAGGGTTACTGGGCGGTAGTCTGAGAGTTCAGTTCTGCTTCCATCTTTTTGAATCGGGGTTATTATTCTGAGCCTTCACATAGCGGAAAGTTGCTTCTGCTCCAAGCAGCGCTGGAAAAATTGAGCTAAACATCCTGCCAGTTGGCTTGCTGCTGCTCCCAATGCCTCTGGACGAATGGTGTCGACACCCGGCGAGCTGTGTTTGCGTAGAGACGTCAGTGTTTGCAATACAGTCTCCACGGTAAAAGTGATGTGGGTTATTCTTGGCAGAGGGAAGATAAAGCTTGGAAGAGCGTTTGGTAGAAAGACCCTCTTAAACTTGGGGGCAAATTACATCAGCAGCGCCTTTTCTGCTTCCACAACCATTCTTGTTGGGCCATCGGCCATTCTGAGTGGAAGAAAACCTTGCCTCATCCTCCGTAGTTTATTGATGTGTTTGTACAGCAGTTCGTGTTTAACACTAAAGGTTTCTGCCATGTTATGCTGATATGCCGCTTTGTCTTCTCTTAGCAGTTGTGTGCAGTAGTTACATTGGGCTACATAGTTGTCTCAAGTTTTTGGTGCTAGAGGTTCGCTGTACACTCGCCATGCTGCATTGCTTACTGTCACCCAGTCTCGATTTCCGCTCCTAAGGAAAGCAACAGATTTAGACTTATTGGATGCTCTTTTCTCTGAAGCCCCCGAGATCAGCTAACTGAATTTTTGACGTACTCGAGTCAGGCGACTTCCTGGGGTTCTTCGGCAAGGAAGGACTAAGTTGCTGCATTGACGAACTGGGCTAATCCATCGTACGTTGTGGTGGTTCGCACAGTCTCATCGTTCGCATTCCGATATTCTGCATAGAAGACGAAATTGAAATGGATCACCGCGTGGTCGCTGCGACCCAATGGGCAGTCTAAAACCAACGCATTAATCACATGATCCTAGTTGATAAGCCCAAGATCAAGTACAGATGGCCTGTTACCCCTTCTGAACCGACTGGGCCAAGTATGGTGATTATAAAGAGGAACAGTGGTTAGGAGATGTTGTAGATCGGTTTTGAATTGCTCGTTGGTTGTGGCAGGAGTTTCTAGACAATGTATGCTGAAATCACCCATAATAAGTATGTGGGTGTACTTTCGCCTTCAACTGCATCTTAAGGCAGCCGCTAGGTGGCAGTCGGTTTCCGGTGTAGAGTTAGGGGGCGGTACGCAAAGACAATAAGACAAACGTCTCTGAAAGCGGTACCAAAGAGAGTCGGGGAACTGCGAGTATGAATCCTCCACGGCATCGCACGCTAAGTCGCTTTGGTAATACAGAATTACCTCTGCTGCTTTTGTGGGCCTATCGTTTCGGATCAGCGACGTGCCCCGTAGGTAAACTTCAGCGTCCGTCATTCCCTTGTGCAAACACCTCTCGGTGGTACCAATGACACCATCCGACCCGGAAGCTCGGCGATCTTTCAGTTCGAACAGTTTGTTAAAAAGACCCTGAGCTTTCGTATACTGGCAGGCCAGTTTCTCCGTCTGTAGGAGTGCACAGAGCATTGAAGGGGTGAACAGTGGGAAAATGCAGAACAATGGGAGGTCGGCGGTTGCTCGTATTTTTGTTGAGATAATGATGCCGCCTCTAGAAGTTGATTCGGCCAAGGTGCGTCCTAATCTTCATTTAGACATACGTCAGAGTCAAGTGAAGCAGAAGTGTCATCGTCGGTATATTTGCTGCTTCAGGTGCTGTGATATTTAAACTTTGCAAAGCTTCTGCGGCATTCAACCGAATTTCAAAAGGAAGAAATTTCTGATTGCTCCGCCATCGATTCAAAACATGCGTTGCTTGTTGCTCTGATTGAACCACAAGTTTTAGGATTCTCCGGCCGCATCCCTTATAAATTGGGGAGAGAGGTATCCTGGTCAGCGATAGCGCCACAATATTATGGGAAGAAAATGTTTCACTAATGAAACGCTACTCTTCTAATTCGTGTTTTCTTGTCTCTTGAACATCCTTAGAAGCATGTTCTGGCAAGTCAAATATTAAGATTGTGTTTAGGCGGTCTTGTTTGCTCTGTCCCACTTTGGTGTTGCTTTTGATTGTCGCGCGCTCAAAGTGACTTCAAGATAGATGCGTGTCCCACAGGATCTATGTCTTAGCGCGCTTGAGAAGAGCAAAACTTTTTCTACGTCGGCGGAGGCTTCTAGTGTCACTCGGATAAGTCTGCGCTCTCTC